ACACACACACACACACACACACACACACACACACACACACACACACAGAGTCTTGGTTTCTAAATACCATTCTCCATAAAAAGGAACCAAGATTCTTTGAATGGAGAATGTTCATTCCAGGGCTGGGGCAGAGAAAATATAAAATGAATCTGGAACATCTTATTGTGCCAGAAAGTAAGGAAGTGCTCAAAGAATGATGACAACTTATCAAAATGACCCAGACGTCAGCCTGAAGGGGCTCCCACCAGTCAAATCAGTGTCAAACTAAGTATCAAAATAAATAGTAATGAATTATCACCACTGAATAAAATAGGAACCAATGAGCCCATACTAATACAAATAAATAAATGAATAAATAAATGGGGGAGAAGAGAAAGCTCTTCCTTGTAGCAGAATGCAACTAACAAATACACAAGAAATAACAAGAGTTAGAAAACCATCATGGTTGCTAAAATGGGTGACAATTTGAAGAGGAGCAAACTATTTACATAGTCTCAAAGTATCTCTTTGAGTCCTTACTAAATGTAACGAGGGAGTTTAAGTTCACTGTGGAGAAACCAGTGAAGCCCCCCTAATCAAATGATCGAAACTCACAGCACCAGTTAAGGGAAAATCAACACCATGTGCCTTCTGGTGAGACACTGTGGGACACACCACCACTTCTGTGGTACTTCTGCCAAAACTGCAGAACCCAGACTGCATGAGGAAACACCACACAAATCTGATACAGGAACACTACTAAATAACTGGTTTGAACTCTTCAGAAATCAAAGTCAACTGATACAAAGGAAGTTGAGATAAAGGAGATATGATAACTAAATGCAATGTGTTATCCTACATTGGTCTGTGGGGAGATGTCACAGGGACATTATTGAGACAACTGATGAAATTTAAGAAGGGACTACAGATTAGGTAATAATGCTGTATCAATATTAAATTTTATTATTTTGATAACTGTATTGTGATTATTTAGAAGAATGACCTGTCCTTAAGAAATATACACTGAAGTGTTAGGAGTAAAGACAGCAGACAACCACCTTGACTTCAAATAGTTCAGAAAAAAAAAATACATGTTTCAGTGTGTGTGTGTGTGTGTGTGTGTGTGTGTGTGTGTGTGTGTGTGTG